TTGTAAGGCAGACTTCATAAAAGGATTATATCCCTTATGGGTCTTGAGTCTGGCAAATTACAAAGAAAAGCATATAGACCAGAAAAGAGTTAAAGTGTAGAACAGAAAAAGAGAACTATTTAAGTTGTACTAATGTGACATTCTGAATGACTGTTATGAACAGTTACGAACCATGATGGAGGTATTTCACCGCGCTCTAAAAAAAGACGTAGAGTACAAAACGAAAAGGGGTTTTGAAAAGGTTCTAAGGACTTTCAGTTTTGTGCAGAATTTCATTCTCCACGTTTTCTCTCATAGACACAACATCAGAAAAATACTTCCCAGCTGAGATAACCACGATTTTCTTTTTAGTAGAGAAAATCGTTTACGACGATCGTATACGGCTGAACATAAAAGATCGTAGTACCGTTTCAGAAGATTCTCGCTCAGCAAAAAGAAACTTTTCACAAAAATTTAGTGTTCTTGCTTTCAATTCTATATCTGGAAAAACGAAACAGCAAAAATAAAAAGAATAAACCGTCATTCGCAAAGGGCATCAGCATGCAAAGCACGCTCTCAAATAAAGGGTTCTGAAAGGCCTTTCTCTCTCAGAGGAAAAGCTTTTACATACTGACACAAAACAACATCTGTTATCAGGCCCAATAATGTTGATTGGAACCAATGCCATTGAACTGAAAATGCATGTGTGATCAACAAAAGCGCTATATAGTGTGCATTTTTTTTCTAAAAAGTGTAACAAGTACTAATATGATATTCTGAATGACTGTTACGAACAGTCATGAACCATGATTGAGGTATTTCACCCGTTCTCTAAATAAATGGGTAGTTTTCAAAATCCGAACGGTTTTTTATTGTTGCTTCTAAACCCAAAAGGATATAGTATTGTTACTGAACCGTTTTGGTTTTTTAAAATACTTCTCGGACAGGTACAGTCGATGTTACAGATGAATTGATGGAAATTGAATATGGTTTAGAAGTTTCTGTACCACATCCTCACGATGGAGACCGAGTTTCTTACAGCTCCACGCTCGCGGATGTGGTCGGTGTAATAACAAGATCGGCAGCCAAGAAAGAACAAGCACAGATAACCGCAGGTCAGTCAGAGACGGAAACGGAAGAAGAAACGTATGACCCTAAAGCTCAGGAGATTGAACTAACGACATACAAGGTTCTGCCACATCATCCTGATATAACACGTTTGATTGAAGAACAGCTGCAAGATCTTGAAATACGGAAGAAGTTAGTTGAAATTCAAAAAAACCCCACAAAGCATCCGTATTTGCTTGAAGATAGTGTCTTATATAAACTTCAGTCGAGAGATGATGGTAAAACTGTGTCAAAGCTCATTTATCTTCCAAAATCAATGATCAGACCAGCTCTTTATTCTTATCATGATCATCCGTTGTCCGGACACTTTGGCAGTCAAAGAACATACGACAAAATGAAATATAAATATTGGTGGCCAAATATGCAACAAACAATAGTGGAGTATATTGAGTCCTGCATGAAATGTAAACAGAATAATTATAGTCGTCAAAAAAAGCCTGGTCATATGCATCTAATTGAACCACCTTTTGGACCATTCCAAGTTATTGGTATCGACTTCTGTGGATCTTTCCTCAGAACACCAAGTGAGAACAGATACGTTTTGTGTATAACAGACCATTTTAGTAAATAGGTTACAGTAGTAGCACTAGCAGACTGCAGTGCACAATCAACCGCACAGGCTCTTTATGATGAATACATATGTAAATATGGAGTACCAACAACGATTCTATCCGATAACGGATCTCATTTTCAGAACCAATTGATGACAGCATTGACACAATCACTCGGCCACAATCATATATATTCAACAACATATCATCCACAGGCAAACGGTTGTGTTGAAAGGTTCAATGCAACGTTTGTCCCACAGCTTGCAAAACTCCAAGATGAAAAAGCAAACAACTGGGACGAGTTTCTCCCGTCGGTTGTGTTTGCTTATAATACTAGGCAACATTTTTCCACTAAATATAGTCCATTTCAATTACAATACGGTCGCGCACCTCGCCTGCCACCAGATCAAGCTCCACCAACCGTGATCTTCAATAAACCATGTAATTATTTCTATCAACTGCAAAAGAATTTAGAAATTTATCATAAAATTGCGCGTGAAAATATTATACGTAATCAACAGTTGTCTAAACAGAGATATGATCGTAACCGTCGAGATCCCCACTATAAAGTTGGCGATTTAGTGTTAACCAGATACTATGGCATCAGACACAAATTAAGTGAACAGTATTCTAAATTTCCAGCTAGAATCATTGAAGTTCAACATCCAGTCTATTGGGTACAACAAGTAGAAACTACAGCTATAGCACGAGTTCACGTTAACGATCTAAGGCTCGTGCTAGAGCAACCAGTTCTCTAAATATTAACATCAGCGTCTCCGGTCAAAGAGCTACTAGTGATGTGTTCTGCCTTTATTAACTTCCGTATTCTATTGAGCTCTTTATTTTATGTCACCAAATTGACATTACCAGACTGCCTATTGAATTCTGTTTTAGGATCAAGATGTTACACCAAATCAAAACAAAATTCTTCAGTGATCAAAGGGAAAAGAACAGACTTTATTCACATTTACACCTCTTTAGTTTAGCCGTTGGGGGCCGAGTTCCTTTCGGCTCCACGGATTCTCCACTGGATTGCATCGTCAGTCTCAGCATTTACACTAGATCCAGATGTTTATTATTTGAATACAGAAACATCCATACGTCTTCTACAAGATCTGATAGATAAATGTGCGGGACGGAGAGATTTTCAAACGGATAAGTGGACAAAAGATAGCAGTTACATTATGAGGATTTGTATGTTATTATCTCTAGTGGTATTCCCGTTCCATTCTTGCTGAGATCTGACCGCGAACGCGATATTTTCCCGTGTAACGAAAAAATGCTGATCTTGGCAAAATAAAATGGCGATCTTATAATTGTAATCGCGTTCTTGATCAAGTTCATTATGCGATCCCCTTCGATTTGTGATTCCAGGGTGTGACGGCATCAAGGCAGGATTATAGCAAGGTCGTGGGTAATTCGCGACAAGATCTTGGGGAGATTTTTCCATCGCCTGATCTTGTCTGGATCTCTTTTCAATCTTGCTGCGATCTTAGCAGGATTTCAGCGCGATCCCATCAAAAACATTTTCACGCCAAGATTGTGAAATTTTCATTATACGGGAAAAATAGCAAGATTAGGTGCGATCTCGCGTTAAGTTTCAAATTTCTTGTCAAAATCGCGGTAAGATGAGGCTGTATTGTTGCCGCGAAATGAAGCGAGAATGCTACTAGGGATGTGTCTTACTAACTTGTCGTTATCAGTTTACTCGCCCAGAGCCCAGAGTGTCGATGAAAGCGACTAGACAAAGAAAATCTTGTAATACTTAAGCAGCTTAACCCGTATTAGCCGGTTTTTCTTGGATGTTGTTATGTGGCTCTATTCACAATAGTTGTAAGGCTTTGCTGTCACCAGAGATTGCTTGATTTATATCACCCAATTGGATCGGATTTTAAATGTTTATTTAGAAAATATTGAGATAAAAACCACAGAAAAGTATAATCTTACAATCTGATTTTTAGTTAACGCGGAAGCCTATTTGTAGTCCTGAAACCACGATAGAAGATGAGGAAAATCTGACGAAATAAGATGATGATGCAATACGAGATGATCATGTATGATAAAACGAGATGATGCAATATAGCATCTTATATAAGGATATCTGACTTGGTTGCTTATGTAAGAGAATTTCCTTACTTAACACCTCCCCGTTCTGGAAGATGAACGTCCCCCGTTCATGAGAAAACAACAAAGAAAAAAAATCGAATTATGTGGACGTTGCTGATCTCAAAGTTTTATAATTCGGATGCAGAAATGCACCCATCATATGAAAATCATCAATTTGAAACATTGAATTTAACAGTTGATAAGCACATTTCGCAAAGAATTTCATACCTAAATCGAAACAACCATTTAATTGTATATAGAACACTAAACCTCTGTGTGCGTGATGTCCCTATCATAATCGATTCTATTGTATAATGACTGCTTAGTGCAATATCATCTTCTTCCTTTTGGTCAATCGCTTAAGTTAGACAGACCATGTATCTTTTCGTTCAAAGACTTTTTATCTTCTGCACCTTCTGCTCAGGATGATTATACCAAGAACTATTTCTTGACGTACATAGGAAATATTCAGAAGCAAAACCCAACGACATTAATATCGATACCTTACCTGGTTTTTCTTTTTTTTCACGATTGATTAAATCTGCTTTCAAGAATGCAATACATGGAAAAACGGTGAATAAAGATGGTGAATTGCCCTTTTGAACTTCATACAAAACGTATTTCCATGGGCGAAGAAAATTAATTAGCTGTTGAACGGTTGTCATGTTTATTTTGTCGATTCGATGTTCTTCTTTACGTTCAGTTAAAATGATTCGCAATGCATTATAAGATCTTTTAATACTTTCTAAAAGATCGCTTAAGGACAGCCACCGAATTATGGATGATTGATGAAGAGTGGTGCTAGTAATAGCCCGGTCTTGCACTGTTGACGACGAATTGGATGTAACTGTTTCAGTGGAGATTGTTGTTTGGTTTAGATTTTGAATCTCATGATTCAAACTAGCCTGCAAACAAAACAAACAGTTAATGAGTGAAAAACTTTGAAATGCAGTCATAAATACTTTCTTAACGTAAGTCACAAGTGATTTACAATCTTCGATTGTTTGCAGGATGTGTTTAGCTGATTGAGGAAGATTGACGAGCGTTGTTGTTGTATAGTCGATGAGAAATAATTGACCATCATCATATTCTTCGTCTTCAGATGATTCTTCTGTAGAATCACTATCGTTGTGATTCGCTTCTTCATCCATATAATAACAATCAATCTCTGGAGAGCCTTCGCTGGATGTTGTTGTTGTTGTTGTAAATAAACCAACCCTGGAAATTAATTTCAATGGCTGGAATTTAGAACTGGTTTCAGAATTTAAATATCTCGGTTTTTTCTTGACGAGTAAACTATCCCTTAAACATACGATTATAAAATGTTTACTAAGCATAGAAAAATCTTATGTAAAGTTGAGATGGTTAAAACGAAACAGACGGATATCAACCAATGTGCTACGCCTCTGTTGTTTTGCTTATTCGTTTCCATTCTTTATTTGGATCTTCCCCTTTTCCCCACTACTACCTCGCACCCAACAAGAATTGTTCTATATAGAAAATATTGTGTAGATCTCCGAATAATCCATCGATGTTATTTTGTGGAAAGGGAAGATCTTTTTGAAGTGGTAAACGAACCAAATCTGAACTCTTATATTGAAAAGTATCTGTCTCGTAGACTTTCTAAAGTATATGAGACTGATTTGTTCTCGTCCCTTTTTCATAACGACTTATTTTTCTGGGAAAATTTCCAAGAGAGTAAAGCTGGTAAATGTGGTCAATTTTTCCGCATGAAACGTGTAAAAAAAATGTTAAATGAATACGTATCTTCTATTGTTAAATGGTTAGAGTTTTTAGAGAAGTAAGAAACTAAAGCTGGTCTTATGTTTATGTATATGTATGTGATTAATTCAGTTGATTATCTGTAGGCAGTAATCAACGTATTAGTCCAATCGAAAACAGCTTTAAGGTCTTTTTAGACATCATAGATTTTCTGGTGTAGAATCCAAACAAAAGCTTTTGCAGCTACAAATTTTTCAAAAGAAAAAAAGCTTCAGTTAATTATATTTTCGGTCACAAGGCTATACGGAGAAACAGATCGTAAATGTAGAATAAAATAATAAAAACTAATACAATTTAACTTTTCAACTTCAAAGTCATAAAAAGAAGTCACCATGGGTTTTCGAAAACAATTTACTTTTTTTTGATTTTCTGCGGTCCGAGTCTTGTATCGGATTTGCGACGTGTCACAGAACTGGCATTCGGTGACTCTTGTTAGTCTTAGAGACGGACAGACTATGGATAATCGACCGTGCTGAGTCGCGTGGCAGTATTTGCTTTTAGAAAAAGTTTTAAAAATCTACCGAAAAGCCAGTTTTACGAAAATTGGGGTTTTCAGGCTGTTTTCACTTAATATACTCCGTTACAAGTTCAAATGAACATTATACTCTTAGCTACTGTAGGGGAACTGAGTAGGTAGAGGAGGCTGGAGAGCCTGTTTTGAACTCGTAAGGAGTCGGCATAAATGTTATTGGTTTATAGACAGAAACCTTTAAGCATTTGATGCGTTAGTTTTTATATCCACTCACTCTCGTTACGAGTTCAAAACAGCCTCCCCAGCCTTCGCTATACTATGTGACAATATAACACTCAGTTGAACTCGTAACAAGTTCAAACAGTCGGTGATACTTTTCATCTCGTGAAGAGTTTAAAGACTGCCACCTGTGGATCAAGAATGCGTCTCTTAATTTTTCTGCAATGACTTTTATGGGAAAATTTCGCAACATTTTCAGACAGGCCATATTTTCAAAAGCGGCCTAATTTTCTGAAATCGCCAAATTTTTGTTGACTTTAGCGCTCTTTTTAGAAACAATCGAAAAGCGTGAACAGAGAATGAAGAGAAGTATATATCTTTATTTTAAGCGAATAGGTACCTACATCTTTCGATTGAATTCTCAACGTTCAAAGAGTGCTTCGAATAGCTAAGCAAAGCTTTTTTAAATTTCCAGCAGCAGTCAAACTGACCTCAGAAGAAAAAAGATTTTTCTCTACAAGGGATATTGAGACAAGTGTCCCGTAAAGTTAGCCTCTGCTAATGGGCAACCCTCAGCGTTGTTGGCGCCAGTTCCCCATCAAATTGGAAAGGTATATTTTTGATGAACAGAATATAAATAACAATAGCCGAAATTTGAACACCGATATCCATTGCTATTGAAAATAAAAGTGAGCCTATTCGAAAAAGAAGTGTTGAATACTGACCCTCAGTTTTGTGACTAGCATTTTTAAAACTTATCCATACAGTAGTGTTCACAGTTATAGAAACGATTTGTATTTGATTTATTTGCTCGACTGTAATAGTCAGACGAAATCAGAAAAGTGAATTTCGTAGCTGAAAACGTTTTCAATCAAGGGAATGAAAATTCGACCGAAATTTCGAAACACTATATCTTTGGAAAATTGAAACCCTGGGAAATCAAGCCACTATATCCAATTAAAAACTTTTTACAAACAACATACTCGAACAATATGTTTAAAATAGAAATGAAAATGTGATAATATTTAGGCTATTGTCTATTATACGACCTTATATCAACATTCTTTTCGACCGTGCATCACAGAAATTTTCTAATTTCATATCACGAACATAATTTTGCCACATATATAGCTATCTTCATTACTCTCCGCTCAGATGACTGAAAGAACAATGGCATCAGTGTTCGGCAATAACGTTTTTCACACATATCTGCAGGCACTCAGCATATGGGAAAGAAACATTTCGAAATTTACCACCACTACTATGTACAGAAGAATAAATTGTGAAGATTTTGAAATTTTCATGATGTGAATCGATTTAAGGAGAATTATGAGATTTTTTCGATCCTGCACGCATAGCTCCAAATCGATAATTTTCCTGAAAATACTGATCAGCCAATAGCCAAGACCTGAATACATTGTTTTCAGTGTCAGTGATCTTGAGTTTCTTAGGGAGCAGAAAGTGTCCTTATGCACTATATGTTCCCCGTATATTAGCATAAAGCTTGTTCTGTTTTATTTAAACTATGAAAATGGAGTTTAAGTCTAGTTAGTGAGTTTATATGTTGTCGTATCTAAGTTACTATTGTCGATGGTCGAAGCTAGGTCAATGCTGCCCGTTCTGGCACGATATAGTCTCCGAATAAGCAAGAAACAAATGTTAGATTTATCTGTCCAACTAACAGATGTAGTAGCGTATGTAGTCATTGCCACCGAGAGCAGTAGGTGAGAGTTTTCTTTTACCCATTTTTACAATTGAGTATGCTTTTGGATGTCTGAATTAGGAGATGACTAATGGCAAAGAAAAAATATTTTTTGTCTAACCGAGAAAGACGAAGATTCACCTAGAAATAGTTGACAATCGAAAGCAACATTGAGTAGTGAAATCATCACGTAAAATATACTTAGATCAATGAGAACAGACAAAGCTCTCATCTTAACTACTGAAAACTCGCCGGCCTTGTTATTAGAACGGGCACAGCGTATTGTCGATTATCATAAAACATGATAAACTGCCGGCTACTCTCCATAGAAAGGATGTACCATATCAATCAAGACCGTATGAACGCTCTTTCACGCGTACTAAGTCACAATATAATTTATCATCAGTAAGCAACCTACAGCATTTCTATTTTCCAAACAGCAAGAACTCTTGGAATTCTTTTTTTTTAAACATATTTATTTCCAATGCTTATAAGAAAGATACAACGGAAACAATGAATATATACGGCAAGTCGCTCAGGCCCATTGTGTGCCGGTTTCTCATATACAACACAAAAAACAAAAAAATAATAAAATGATAAAATACATGAATCTAAAAACGTTGAATATATATAAAAAATGGAAATGATAAATTCTCGAAATATAATAAAATGATTAGTATGACAGTTGTTTTGAGATAAAAGTGAGATACGAATTATATTACGGAGAGGAAAGGAAGAGAGAGATGTTAATTATCATAATATGACAATGCATTTAACATAGATTCAGATAAGACATCAAGGCTGATCAAACCGCTGAGTTGCAGTGATAAAGTGGAGGACAGTATTATATAGTTAAATCAGTTCTTCTTTGCAGAGTGCTCTTATCAAACTGTGTTGCAAGAAAACATGGTCAATTGTTACTGTTTTTACTTTTAAGACATTCTCGAACAGCTGTAGCATCGCTTGACGTGGGACAACATATTGAGTACAATGCATAAAGAAATGTTTAGTTGATTCCTTATCATCTCCACAAATACAATCTAACGAAGGCACAAGTTGTCTTATTCCCTTGACTGAAAGTCTTGGGTCATACAAACGAAATGTCCGTCCGTGTACAATAGTAGAGTAGTGACATCTCACGCCACTTAAACGTAAATTAGCGACATATTGACATTCGAGGAGGAAAAACACGTAATTACTACTTTTCTCAACAGCACGACATCCTAGATCTACGAGCCCTCAATAAAAAGTGTCAGAGATTAGATTTCACATATTTTATCTGCTGGCATCAGTTTGCTTAATTAGCGAGAAAAACGCTAATTTTTGATAATTAACACTTTTCACCGTGAAGCAAGCAGCTGATAAATCTGGCTCTCGAACCGAAAATGTCCGAAATTAAATTTTACATATTTTATCTCCTGGCACCAACTTCGTGGCGATCTGCAATGACGGCCTGTTGGATATGCGTTATGTGGGCGTTCGTTTGATGGGTTTTTGTGCATTTTCCATGTTTTACCCATGGGGATTTCTGTTTTTTTTCGTAATTTGGTCCAATCAGGGTTTGAGTTTTGTTGAAGTTGGTGATTGTGTGTGTGTTTGACGGACAGGTGGGTGTGTGTGTTGCTGTGTATCGGGTTTCGTTGTCAGTGTGTATCGTTGGTGGTACTGTTGTGGTGCAAGCGGTTGCTTTGGTGCGACACCTGGTAGTAGGCGTTTGTGTCGTGTTTCGTAGTGGTATGTTCAGTACCGGCGTGTTTTGTAGTTTTGTGTGGTTGTTCTTTGTAGAGTGTCGGTAGCCATATACTGCTGCTGGGGTGCAGATTCGTGTATGGTGTACGGAGGTTTTGGTGATGTTGTGTCACTCATGCTTTTTTTCATTTGTTTTTGGGCGGACTGTATCGTGTGTTTTCGAGTTAGCGGTTTGTTTATTGATTGTTTGGAAGTTCTTTTCGGAGTAAGTCTTTCTGCAGTTCGCAATGAAGGAAGAACTGCCGAAAGGGTTGGCAATGACTTGTTCGTTGATGTTGATTAGAATGTTTAGTGTTGACGCGTATCTCGCCGTCTGCTAGCTTGCCCGGCTTGCGCGTTTTGGGGATATTTTGAGGGCGTGTTTGTTTCTTAGATGGCAGCCAGAGTTAGCTTTTTAAACTTCCCGAGCGGAGCCAGGGAAAACTACTTGTGAACTTTCGGAAGAAGTTATACGAATATTTTACTCATTTTGGACTATTTTCAAACGATTAAAAGTTTTTCACAATGACTTGTAGACGTATCAAAATCAGTTTTAAGTAGATAACTCGAGTAGTTTTATTCAACCATACCGAAGACAACAAAAATCATTTTCTGTAAGATGCGAATTTCGCGCACTGTACATGTCGGGTTCACCAGGATCTTTCAGTCAAGGGTTAGTGAATCGAAGATGAGCGTTACTTGTAAATAAGGGTTCATTTAATTGTGGAAAACCAAGTCTACATCTCGTACAATGGATCTCAAGTTTTCAATTCTTAGCAGGAGGAACCCGGAAGGATTCTAGGAAAGATGATTCTAAGTATGATTTAAAACGTCTATACTTACGATCATTACGCACGTCATCATCCAACTGATTCCATAGTTTACTTGAGTTTCTCACGGAAGTTCTTTCAAGCCTCAAGCTTGCCTTGAAGCTTGTCGGAATATCACCTCGAGCCACACTTCTTGTGGCATACAACACTTTATCGTACTTTGGCACAAGCTCACGTAAATATGGAGACGTTTTGCCGTACATAATTTTATAGAAGAGGCACGATCTTCTCACATAAACCAACTGTGTTACTGACAATCAACCTAAGTCTTGCAGAATTTTCTGCTGCGATGTACCGCGCATGCAGCAGGTAGATATGGCAATGAAACAACAAGAGAGGGACAGGCTGGACAAGGTCAGTGCCCGCTTGCGGGCGTGCATGATCAACTGATGTTCTAATTAAAAAGGAGTTCATAACGGTTCTCGACGAATTTATCGAGACGCCGTTTCTATTCCTCAATCATGCTAGTTATAATCTATTCAGTTTTAGTTTCTCGTTTACTTGCTCGTTCATCGGCTCGAATGACATCCGTCAAGTAAATATGTAATGGATTTCTAGGGTGGGTGATTCTCTGCTATAATAGCTGATGGATAGATACATCGTACAAAAGGTACATTGAAGTAAATCGCTCATATTCGTATAGACTGTCACACCTGCAACCAAGAGAGATAACTGCGGCGGAATCCAGTGAATTATATAAAAACAAAATTGTATATCCCTCTATCTGGAAATCTAGATGGAGCACTTCTATTGGTATGAGCTTCATTCTCTCATGAAAAGCTAAAATGCATTTTATGTGTGATCTTTTCAAAACCAAGGGCTCTATTTTGATATTAAAGATCACTGAAGAAACTATTTAACACACAGAGATGCTACTAACATTATGATACTGTAGTTGGAAAAACAAAAGACCAGTTTCTTCCATACTAGTCTAGTATATCTAGATGGAAGAATAAAATTAGATGAGGAAGTTTTAGTTGAAACTGAATTGTGCATTAGAAGAGAAAGTGAAACAGTTCACTTTTCAGTCTTCTCTGCATTAAAATCTGTTTGTGTCAAAAGTAGAATTAAGAATGAAAGGAAAAAAGTATCTTTGTGACGGTTTTGTGAGTGTTGTGTTCTATTCATGTTTTTCTGAATTGTGAGAGAAAGGAAAGCATCGGTAATAGTAAGTAGAGGCATCATTAATGGAAGTAGATAATAACTACTTACGTCAGTCTTGTCTTCATAAAATGGAAAACAAATGGAGTTTAAGTCTGCTAGATTTATTAACAAGTGCAAGTAGCAAGTAACAATCATAAAAGAATTGAATTGAATGAAGAATATAGTGTCTGTAAAGAATTAGAAAACATTTTCTGACGATATGTTTCCTTTTTTTCTATCACATAGAAGAGTTGAATTGCTAGGCATGAATACAATTAATTAAGAAAATACATTTCTATAGTAAATTTCTATGCTCCTTAATAAATATGAAATGTAAAAAGTTATTGTCCTATGCATCCTCAATGGAATGAAGATATGATCATTTCGCTTTTAACAATCTTCATATCTTAGATTGACGAACAGGATAATAGTTAGAAATTATAAGAAGGTAAGTGTTGAAGGTATACTCACGACGTGATCCTTAACATTTTTAAAAACTTTCGGAGCAGGATACACATTAAACAAGGTCTTCATTTCTTAAGATGTTATTTTTTTGCAGAAGTAATGTCAACTCTCTATATTGATACCATTTTTAAGTTTTACAATAACTTTCTGAATTGGTCCGTGGACGGTGTTTTTGAACGAACAACAGTTTCTTCCTGAACTGTATTGTAAAATATATATCTTCAGCAATCTAAACATTTTCTCTACTTACGAAGCTCATATTCAGAAAACAGAAAATAGCACTAGGCGACATCAACACTGCTTCCGGAATGATCTTTAGAAAGAGTAAGTGTAGTAATGTATGCTTCTTTAGCTAGTTATATTTGTCGTCGGTAAATTCAAGAGCAACAATAAGTATAATTGAATAATGTTCTGCAAAAATTAGATTTTCTGTCATGGCTTTTACATAACCGAACAATTTTATCTGACATGGACTATGTCAAAGCAGATCGATTAATACTCAGTTGTAGAGCAACATTAGAGGCTTTGACCGCACTAAACCTTTGAGAATAAAAACGGATCATGATGAAAACGAAGCATGATATGATGTCGTTATGTGTTCTGCTCATGGATATGACAGAGCCATTTATACATACTAGAATCTACCATTTTAGACCATCAGCGTCCGATGAAAACGTGTCTTTTGCTTCAATAGTACGAAAATCAACGTAAGTGGTGTTATATTACTTCGATCTGATGACAATTATTATTTTTTTAATTCGTTTTTAGATCATCTGGCAGTACTATGTCAGATATTGGCGTCGCTGGTACCGCTCCATCTCTTGCTCAAAGTCTTGTTGAACCACGTTCATCGATGGTCCAGAAGCCAAAGAGTTGTTGTGGCGCCTATATTCATTTCATACTACATTCACTATGCCTATTATGCAAATGTCGGTTATCACCATCAACTGATGATCATCATGAAGTACTTTGACCGTTTAAAATAAATTTCCATGTTCAATGTGGAAGTAGCGAGAACATTGTTATATGTAGAGATATAAGACACAGTTCCTGAGTTATTCCTCTCGTTTCATACAGAGGATACAGTCTCCCTTTTCTAGATACACTAGCTATAATTCGTTTCAGTCGTTGTTATCATAAGGGTGGAGTGAAGACGTGTGTGTGTGGTATTATTTGTGTCGTTTTATTCTATCCTCTTTTTCCTTATTATTACCACCCTGTCTTTTATTATGCTTTACTTTTGTTCATTATTATTAAATATATTATATCAAAATTCTACTATAATTCAGTGAGCTGAAACCGCGACACCAGACTGAGGGCTTTTCAGACTAAAGATTCATTATAGATCTTCGGAGAAAGGCAGTCGTTTTCTTGTCGGTTAAAAATTATCGGAGCAACTTCTCGCAGAGATACTTTGTTTTTTCTGTTTTCGTCGTCGTCCTTCTTCTTGACTTTTCTTCCTGCTTCCACAATATCCAAATAACCGTGAGAACCTGTTTCTGCTACTTGAAGGACGTCTCGTTGATTATTATCACCACTAGCGAGCCTATTATCAGCTGCTCGAGCTAAACAGAAATCAAAATTGATTTTCTCAGCCGTTTGCGCAGTAGCAAACAGAAGATGTCATATCTGCTACATATTTAGATTTTGACTGTTTGAATATTTTCTTGTATGATGTCTTTCTCATACAGCAGATAATCAAATAATGTTATGCACTGTATTTGAATATTCTCCATATATGGTGTATCAGTTCAGTATCTAGCTGAGAAGTAGATAATCAGCTAAACTGATGTATTGTATATTTTTATGACGGTAAAGGTAAGGATGAATATATTGCGTATTGTCTAAAGTGGTGCATCACTTCTAACCAGCAGAGAAATACATAATCTCATGTTTTCTTCGTAGGTGTGAAAGTCAGACTGAAATATAACTCAGATATAACTTATTGTTGATGAGCGGTTGGGGCACAGTTGGCATCCAGGCGGAAATTAGGTGAAAAATCGAAGTTGCTCCTAATTCAAATACAAAGAGTGGAAAATGTAGCCTTTTCAAAGGGCTATCGAATGGTATATAAATGTCTGTTTTGAAAATGCTTCCTACGACGAGAAATCACGGTACACAAAACCGATTACGGATATCGTTACTACATACGAATAAAGATTCTTTGCTTACTCAATTAGGTACGCGATTTCAAAGCAGATATTCAGAACCAGCACGTCTTCAGCTATCTATTGATAACAAAATATTTCTATTTCGGCACCGCATTCAATAAATAAGAGCGACATGTTCTCCATCACGTCAGTCCGTAGTAACAGTACTCCAGTATAGTCGGGTCGCCCTTGTTAGCCTCACGCGAAAATAACATTCAAAATAATAACAACACATCAAAATGTTCTTCAAACGCTATCTATGTATCCTAAAATCGCAAAATCTCGCATATTTTCCAAGGAGGTTTTATGGATTTTCCAAAATCGCAAGGGGTTTTCACGTATTTCACATTTTTCTCTCTCACCAAAGCACTTTTTCGTAACAATAATGCCATATTCGGAATCCCCGTGAAAAACTACATCGAATGATATATAGCTTTTTAATTTTTCGGCAGAAATATTTTCGGTGAAACTGAATTATACAGTTGAAAGTCTGTCCGCAGCAAATTTTGCTTAGGAAGTTGGATATTTATTTTAGCAATAGTACGCTAGTGAATAAACACATTTTTTATAGGTTTTCGAATATGATCTTTCCAATAGTGAGGTTTTCGAAATGTAAAAATATTTTTTATGGGTTTTCCAGAGATCCGGTCTCTAGAAAACCCACAAGGAATTTTACTTCTGAGTTCTGAAAATCTCATCATTAGAAAGAGCATATTCGAAAATCAATAGAAAAACATGTTTATAGGCTTTCATACCAGTTCTACAGCATATGTCCGCCTGCTCTGTAGAAAAATGCCCACTGTATGGGGGAGGTGGAAGTATGCGGTGAGAGTGAGTTAAATAGTAAATTAGCAAATTACACATTCGAAAGCGGAAAGCTTAAAATGTAGTCTGAAGTTTCATAAACTAAATATCGGTCGAACTTCGGATTCGTCTCACGACTAAGATGCTTCTAGTCTTTCTACCGGCCATAAAATAAAAAGATGATTGTTTAGATAATATTCAACTATCAACAAACAATACAGAAGATTTTCTGGTTGTCTGCTACTTAGCTGGTTACCACTGATGTACCATATATCAAGAATATCGAAGTGTGAACATACAATACATGAGATTATCTGGCTTCCGAGCAAGTGAGAACTCATACAACATATATAGCCAGTATTCAAATGTGAACATACAATACATGACATTATCTGATTGCCTCGTTCTTACCCAGATAGAACTGATACACCATATATAGCGAGTATTTAACGTGAATATACAATACACGAGATAATCTGTTGGTCTGATCCTCCGCTGAGATAGACGCCCACGTATACAGATATGGAGAGCAAATCATAGAATCAAATAATTTGAGCAGATGTGTAAAGCGTTAAAATATGTGTAAGAGTGTGTTCGGAAGGGGTGTTGGTAGTAGTGAGGGTGAGTTCTAAAAATTTGCATAGAAAAGTACTGCTTTAAACACATGTGGGTATACGACAGTTAATCAGAGAATGAGAGAATCAGATAATCACAAAGATGAATATGGTACATATTGAGATTTGTCATGACCTCGTAGCAAAACCCATAGGGTAGTGAACCTCTGGTTTCTTCATTACTGAAATTTCTAGAACTTCACCATTTTGAGTTTCTTCAGTTTAATGACATAAGACAATGAAGGTCAGTATAGTTTTACGTTTTATAACTAAAAGTAACGACGACTATTCCGCTTTAATTCAGTGGTCACACAGTCATGCGTATACTTGGAAACGTGTACCTTAGGAACTTACCTGCAGTTTGCGGATGCTGTTCCTGATGAGATCTAAAACCTTCAATAACTGGAAATGCAGTTACCACAAGCAACAACATCGCTCAATTAACTTCACCCTTTGGCGGTATTGTAACTTAAACGATCTTATCATCACCCTTCGCTTGAATCGTAGTAGTTTTATTGCTTTCCCAGTTCCTTAGTTCAAATGAAACTCATACCAGTTTTAGTAATTTGATAACGACATACTTCTTATCGATTAGGACAATCTGAAAGTAGTTTTGTTGTTGTTGACTGAGATCAACTGTCATTAGCCGAACTAATTCATACCCTAATGGATGTTCCTGATTGCCGGGTTATGCCACCATGGTATTGAATATCCAAGCATGAGTGTCGTTTTGATGGTGATGAAGAACTCAATGCAAAAAATTGCACACTAGATGGTGCATAAGCAGCAACAGCTAATCTGTTATTTCGTGGAATGTGTTCTGGGTGGTCATTTAGATTCATCACTATCAGCAGTGTCGTATAATTTGTAAGCTTCAGTAATGCATGTGGCATCACAATTGTCGGATTATGTTGAAGTTGTTGTTTTGGATGAAGTATAACTGTTTCAGCTGTTGAAATCGGAACTTGTGCTTGCACCTCACATTCTTGTCGTGGACCTAATATAACTGGATGAAGAAGTTTAACAACA